GGCGCCGCTCGGCCCGCCTCGGGAGCGGGGCCGGGGCGCGTCGTTGGCGTGCGGAGGCGCTCCGGGAGCGGGCAATGGGGGACGGGGTCAGCGGGCTCGCTGCCGGGAGGCGGTGGCCCGGGCGGGCGAGCGCAGGAGCAGGAAGAGGCGCTGCCCCCGCGGGCAGTGGCAGCGCGGGGAGCGATCCCCAGCGCGCCGGGAATCACCGTCCCGAGCCCTGAACGCACAGGGGCTGCCCAGCTCTACCGCTGGTGCGCCGTCAGGGGCTCCTGCAGTGTTAACGACGCATCCTGCCCTCGGGCAAAGCAGGAATTGTGTCTACTCAGAACAAAATAAGGGAAAAACAAAACACAAAATTGTTCAATGAGCTCTCAGTCTCTCACAAACTATTACCTCCACAGGCTTTCAGTTCCCAAGATGATGGCAGTATAATTTACAAAATACAGCAATCGAAAAATCTGTTTTGAAAGCAGAAATATGTAGAGAAGTACTTGTGGTTGGATAGCACCTGTGTTCTCATCTCTCGTGAAACTATGAGAGGCAGGAAAGTGTATTATGAATTAATGTGCATATACACATGATTAGCTAAAACCTTTCTTTCATAATTTAAGGTGGTTTTTGAGGCAATATGAAAACTAGTAAGGAAACTAGTGAGCTGTGGAGCTGGGATTGCAGCCGAAATATGTTGCTAATCTGTGTTGGAGCTTTTTTAGCATTTGACTAAGAAAATGCATATTACTATTTCTTTTTTTCCCACCACCTATTCAACAAAATGTTTCTGTTTTGAAGCAAATTATTTTAAGACAATCTGGAGATTTCAATTGGTGTGTTTACTCAGAAGTTTGTCTTGCAACATTAGCTGTACCCAGTGGTTATCCAGTGTACAACTCTTGAGTCAAATAAGAAATTTCAGTTGTTATTGCCATAGCTCCAGCAGCATAGCACTCACAGGTATTCACGCTTGCAGGACAACCTCTGTAACTAATCTCTTCCTCTAGTTCTGTCCCTGTTAGAATAGATGCAGCATTCTGTAGTGCTGCATCTCTGCTGACTACATATTGCTGTTAATGATTGTGAAAGTCTTTAGGATCTAATGATCTTACATCCAGAATGTAAATTGCTAAAGATCAGGATTGTCAGCTTTGAGCTGAATTATGTTCCAGCTGCCATTTGGATGCAGCATAACTAATCATAACTGATTAAAATAGCAGGGATATTTGGGTTGGGGTTTTTTAGTTTGTTGGTTTTGGGGGGGTTTCTTTAGGGCTGTTGGGAGGGAGTTTTTTCCTCCTCATTGGATTCAGAGAGAAGGGTAAATGACAAGGAACAGTTGGCAAATTCCCTGATAAATATTGATGCCTATGGAGGAGAAGCAGGAAAATGAGCCAGTTTTTCTAACTGCAAGGAGTTCTGGATATGAGACAGATAACATAAGAAGCAGTTATTTATTCCAGCAGCAGGCAACCCGGGGTGTGACTACAGAGTAGTTTAATCCAATCTAAATCTAGACTGCGGCAGTCCTGCCCACGGCTAGTCGCATGTTCCCACTGCCTCCTTGTGCTGGTAGTAGTGCTCCAGCAGCCTTGCAGAGAGCTAGCTCCAGTTTTAATTTCGAGGTTGGTTTTTTTAGGGGGTTTGTTGTTGCTTTTTTGAGGAAGTAGGGAGCTACTTTGGCATTCTCAACTTGTAGCATAGAAGTACTTATAATGGTACCAGTAAGTAGCAAAAATGCAAGGCCAGAGATGGGGGAAGGCTAGCCTATCCTTCTCAGTGGCAGTGCAGACTTGTGACATTGTTACGTAACTGTGACTTCATGTTACACTTTAAAGCCAGTGCTGCTGTTGAGCACAGGAGTTCTGTCTGCCACTTGTTCATTTCTGTCCCTGTGCAGGCCTCCTTGTGTTATCATGCCATTTGAAGTGGTCTGTGGATCTGACCTGCATTAAAACTAAGGCAGCAAAAATACATTTCATATTTCGTTTTAAACTGGATTGGTTTGCTGGTACGGTTTACAGAAAGGTTGCTTGTGCTGGAAGAAAGGGAAGGGTAAGGTTGAAGAAGAAGAATGTCTAAGGTATGAGGTGAAGACAAGACCAATTCTTCTAGTTACAGTGCCATCTTAAAGTGTCACTAGCAATGACTTTCACTGACCTTTTCTTACTGCATTTGAAAGTTTAGGGAGCTACCAGTGAGTTATTTTTCCATACCAAGTAGAAAATCAGGCACTGTGCTACAGTTCTGCCTGTTGTATCAATTACTTTTGATACCATCAGTCTAGACGACAGCAGCACTCTATATTAATGTTCCCAGTCACGATGAATGACTAAAAGGCTGGAAATTAGGTAGAAGTTTTAAATACTGATGTTCAAATGGAGGTTTGAGTTTGCATGAATGAATTAAAACCTTCATTTTCTGTGAAGTGTGAGTCACATGAAGCTGAGCCCTATTCTCTCCATTAGAAGCTGAACATAATTTCTTAAATCCCATTGCACTCATTTTTTAAGTTCTCTCTTATATGTACAGGACATGCCATTTACTAGGTAAGCTGTTAACAGTGGAGGATTTCAGAAGAGTACAAAATCAATACTGATGCAAGCTTTGCAAGCTTTTAAAGATTGTGAGAACACACTTTCAGTCACTTTCAGCTATAACAATGCCATCTGCAGTTTAGTACCTGTCCCTAAAGGCAGATATAATATCTGATTTTATTCATTGAACTACACAGAACAGTCCTTAATTCGAAAAGGAAGGAAAGCCTACCCATTTAGTTAAAGGTGTGCCCCAGATATGAGCATGAATATTCTGTTTAGTGAAGGAATACTGTTTGGGAGAGGAAGAAGGTGGATGAAGTAGCCTGTGTTACTAACAATGCTTTGAGACATGAGTATGAACAGTTAGAGATTATAAACTACTGCACTGGTGTTTAGGAAAACAAAACAAGTCAAAACAAACAAAGCCTTCCATGTGAAACAATGTAGGCCTTTTATGCAAAACTTGTAAACCTGAATTTCAGTAACATTTTTTACATCAAAGAATCCCTAAAAAATTCCAAGTTATTAAAGAATTTGTTCACTTTGCTGCTATTAAAGTACAGCATTCCAGAGGTGAGATAGAATTGCTTTTCCTGTAGGAACATATCAGTAAAATAAAATTTGCAGGACAGAAAAGTGTGATGTCCATACAACATTCTGCTGAACCTTCTAGAAAAGTAAGATCGCATTTCTGTATTCAAACTCTATGATAGGGAAGATATTCAAAAGCAAGGAAAGATGAACAAAGTCTTCAAGCTGCAATCTTCAAAATTTTGAGCAGTGTACAAGGCAAGTTACCCTCATACTCTTCTTGCTGGTTTATCCTCATGTGACTTTCTTTAGTAGTATTTGTGGTTTATGCATAATCCCAGGAGACAGTGAGAGATGATAGTAGCAGTCCACACTGCTTTAAATACCAGGAGAGATGAAATTGCTATTTTTTTTTTTTTTTCTTAATGCTGCTATCTTTTTTGGGGGGGCATGGGGTGGGGGGTTGAGACTTCACTAACTTGTTCTCTACTGTACTTGTATGATGCTTAATTTTGATATTAAAATTAGTATAATTTATTACTATAGAAGCAAATGGCCTGTGTTTGCAAAGATCTTGGAGTCTGACTTTTAATAATGTTCTAGTCTTATGTGTCAAAGTTCATGAGCTGTAGTTTTGGGAGTTGTTACTGAAATTGTACACAGTGTAAAAAGTTCTTAATATTGAGTGAAAAGGTCCAAGTCTCGATAATTCATACTGGTTGGTGTCACTGATATTTAGATGAAAGATGTTTTAACTCTACCTTAGGGTAGTTTATGTTGACATTTTCAATTTGACACAGAATAGGATACGTTTGTGTGACCTAGTTGAGTCTTTATCTTTTTATTTCTTAATGCTGTTGGGAAAGATGTGTGCTAATGTCTTTACGAACAATTCCATGGATATGGGTGTTAAAGTCTTTGAAATGGATCTTACTGTCTTTACCAACTTTAAGCAGCAGGTTTGTTGCAGAGCCCAGACAGTTTGACTCCTGAAACAGACAAATGGGTCCTTACAAGCCTGAATTTCTGAACTTTGGGGTAAAATGACAAGTTCAAGGGGGGATATGTGGTAGGCAGTTTGGGAAGATTGCACCTTCCTAGTACCTCAGCCAGCGGGAAAGGGAAGAGGGCAATGTGTGGCCAGGAGTTCAGGATAAAAGGAGGTTGTGTTGTCAAAATCAAGAGACAGAAAAAACCCCACATTCCCCAGTGGACTCTCTTCCTCCCTTTATTCAAATAAAGTTGCAGGACTCCTCTGGTTTTGGACATTGGCTTTTCATAGCACAATGCTAAAAGCTGAGTTTAGCTTTGGTTATTAATGCTGTCTTTTTTTCACAGTTATGCAAATGTTAAAATTTTGGTGATGACATAAAATCAGGTAACTGATAATCTGCACCAATTTTAAGTCTCAGTCATAAACACTGTAACTACAGATACATTTATACATTCTATACATCCAGAATTTGATTCAGAGTTAAGCTACTTTTTTTTTGTCTTTTGTTTAAACCTATCCATGAACATAAAATTAAACATTGGGGTGATCAGAACTATAATTCAAGCTATGCTGTTAATGGTCAGACATACTGAACATATCAGTTGAATACAACAGTGGTATAAGTCATGCTTATATATGATTTTAGTTACATAATACTGTTTCTTAGTGTTCTTTCTTTTTCTTTCTGATTACTTTTCAGGTCTGTTAACTTGACCATCTTTCCAGGGATGAAACAACATTGGGAATTATGGACAAAAACATTGGAGAGCAGCTTAACAGAGCTTATGAAGCCTTTCGACAAGCATGCATGGAGAGGGACCATGCTGTGAAAGAACTCCAGCAAAAAGTAGGTGTTGGATTCTGAATTCTATCTTTAAAGCCATCCTTCCCATGAAGGATGGTAGTACATGTAGATACCAGTTTCACTTTAGCTATGCACACTTTAGTGCATCTGTTAAAGCTGGAAATTGCCATTATGAAACCATGCCAGTACATTGCAAAGTAACTCATTAGGCTTTGAATTTAGTAGGTGGGATTCTGGTTTTTGACCTTGGATTTTTTTGTATTTTTTTATTAGTTTTAAAGTTTGGAAAAGTGTTGTCTGTTTTGGAGGATTAATGAAGTCTTCTAATGTAAAGAGCAAAGATGTACATAAAATTTACCTAACTTTAATGAAGTACTTGTTGGAATTTAATTTGCATTCTTAAAAATAAATTATTATATTATTAGTATAAATAACTTAAATTAAACAATTTTTTGTGACAAATGAAACTGAAAGTTGTTAGAATAAGTATCCCTCTTTTAAAAATAATAATCTGTGTATTTATTCTTCAATGAAGTAACAGATATTTTCTGGAGGCATTCTGACCAATAAGCAGCACCTCTGAAGTTTTAGTTAATCTGTCGCAGAAAACATTAGCTCAGTCAAAACTTCTCTAGACCTTCTCAAGTAGGACAGAGTATTTCAAGGCTATCAGGTTTGGGCTTTGTCACAGTCAATTTATCATGCATATTCTGCCCAGCAATGGAACCTGTGTAACAGAAAGGCTTGAATGTTTTCATTGCTACAAGACTTTCTGATACTCAGTAGAACTGGTAGGCTGGGACTTTGTTCAGGGGCCAATGAACCGTAATCCATGTAATGGACTAGTCATGGAGCAGTAGTAGAATTGGAAGCAGGGAAGGATATAATAGAGAATATTTGGATATCTGGGTCCAATCTTGCCATCTCCCTGCATGGCAAAATAAACTAGCCAAGGCATCACAGAACACATTCCAAGTCAGTCATGTGTGCAATCATCCACTGTGCAGTCTGTCTCTATTCATAGTCTTGCAGCAGTGCTGGTGTAAATCTGTAGAGGTTTCTATACATAACAAGCATAAGTAGTGTGATTTTTGTGCTGAAATTGCAGCTAATTAACAAAAGGCAAGAGATTTTAGAATGTCTGGGGATCTTTTAAATTCTGTCTCTTAGGATGAACTATTAACTATTTGAAGGAAAGCCTGTTAATACTCCTGAATCATCTAAAAGTACATGAAAGAATCTTCTGACCAATAAACAAGGCATTGAGTATAAGATGAGATAGTCCTTCTAAGGTCTGTGCAAGAAAGCCAGAGAAGTGTGAGGTCATCAGTACTAAGTGAACTAATTCCTTGCAAGATTGCTCTCTACATTTTCACTGGACCCTAAATAAAAAACTTAAAACCTTTGATAAAGGTTTACTACCAGTTTAAATCTTTGTCGTAATCAAACTTTCAATAGTTGAATTTTATGATTTCAAAAGAGGACAAAAGTATTTTTTTCAGGAGTTGATATTAAAATTACTTTGGTTGTTTTATTTGTGTTGCTTTTTTTTAACCAAACTCCCATTTTTTGAATGACCTTTGTACAGTGCTTTACTCTAGTACCTTCCTCTGTTCATTGTGTGGCTTCCACACACTGTTGGATTGTCCACCATGCTGTTGTTAACAGTTTACTACTTAAGTTACCGATAGGCCACTTGTTTTGCCAGTCTCTAGAGCTGGGAGCCATGTCAAGCACACAGAAGCCAGAGTCATCTCGGCCAGATGGTGTTTGATACAGATGGATGGTTGGTTGTCATGCAGATCTTCTAGTTGGTAACTTGTTGCTGCCATCTGACTCAAGGAATAATTTGTGCACACTGGCTGTCAAAAGCATCTTCTCTTCTGTCTGTTTTAGCTGTCATGTCTGTGCTCTGTACAGAAGTGTTGACAAGACATTGCTGTTGTACATTTTCAATTTGGTTCTCAGTGATTTTTCTGCTTCATGAGGTCTCTTATAGCTGCTGGAGTGTACTGCTCTTTGATCACTTTTTTTTTTTTTTTTTCAAAAAGACACAACAGAAAATCCTCTCATAGTACAACTACTACCTGGCCTTTTAAAATTAATTTTGCTTGTAGATTTTTTTCCTGCCTGCTTTATAGACAAACACAGCGGACAGTAGCAGAGTATAGAATTTAAACATGGCTGAGATTTGAGAATTAGATAGCACTATGTATAAACTATGAATAGATGTGAAAACAATGCTAAGTCCTGTCCCAAATGGTGACAGGTGGTGACCTGTTCAGTAACAGACATATTCCTAATTTCAGAAAAATTCAGTGCTTTCCTGAAAGTTTTTTTCTTGGGATTTCACAAGTTTTCTTGCTTGTTTTTAGCACTGATGTAACTGCAGCATTAGGCATGTGCTAATGAAACAATAGTTTTGAATATTAGCATCTTCCTGCCATTCATTCCATTAATGGACTGTCTAGCAAAATTTATAGTTTGATGAAATACAAGCAGTAGTATTAGAGGAGTCTGTGTGGCCTGTTTGTAAGTATGAGTTGTAGTATTGGAGACAAAGCATGGGACTTTTTGCTTACCTTCCTCCCCAGCCCCATTATGTAAATTACAAAAACTAGTCCACTACATTCAAAGAAACATACAAAACTGTTCATAGGCAGTCAAAATGGTTTGCAGAGTATCTCTTGTATGGAATAAACAATGTTGTTGCTTTCCATTTAAAAACTAACTTTTTAAAAGTCTATTTTTATATAATTTGTTAGAAAATATGGTGGGAAAATTACTGTTTTCTATAGATTAACTAACTGACAAGCATTCTGAAGGATACTAAAATTTTAATTTAAGCCTGATGTGTTCTACATCTGTAAGTGAAGAATCCTAACTTAAAAGTTACCCTTTACAACTGCCACAGCTGAAAGAGTTAGTAAAACTCAGGGGTTATTTCCTATAATACCTTTTCTAATCAGTACAGCCCCAAAAAGATGGACTTGCCGAAGGTTTTTACGCAGAGGACCACAACTATAGTCATCTTTAAAAATCAGAACTGCCTTTTACATGCCAAATAGGAGACCCCTAGTCAAAACAGAATTAAGATTAATGCTAATTAAATTATATTTGCAGACAGAAAACTACATGCAGCAAATACGTGAACAGCAGGAAAAGATAGAGCTTCAAAACAGCATTATTGCAAAACTGAAATCACAGTTGGCTGCTCTGAATGCTAATAGAGGTATGTACTCCAGTTTGCACATTATTGCTTTTTATGCTGTGTTGCACTGATGAATAGTTCTGACTTTGTTGCTTCAGTTTTTACAATATACATATTTCAAATGAGTATCATACTTTCCTGTGAATGTGAGAGTTAACACAAATGTGCCGTTTCAAGATCTATTTATAAAATTCAACACTTCTGGGGTCTCTCTTTATCCTCTTCAAGAAATGGTGAGATTTTCTATAGAGGTAGAATCTGCTTACACTGGAGCCAATAAAAGTTATGAAAATATGGGTTCAAATCATTCACTACAATTGTTTTTTTAAATTGTTACATAATTATTTTATACTTACCTGTTAGTAAGTTTATCTCAGGTTTTTCTAGATGTGAGTGCTATGATTATATGTCTTTTACGTAAGATGAGTCTTGTAATGCTAATTTTATTGCATAACCAGAACTTTATAGGCAGGTAATTCTCTTTCAAATCAAATAGTCATTGATGGATAATTTTTCACTGTTTGACTGTATTACACAAATAAGAGAAAAGAGTCAAAGTAACCATGTGTTAATCTGCCATGCTCATTAAATATTTATTCACACTAGCCTAACACTCCTGGTTTTCATAAATACTAGCAAAGTGGCTGACTTTTATTTTTAAGATTACATGTACATTTCTTTATTGCCGATTTAGTCTTGCATTGTCTCTAAGCACAGAATTTAGCTTTTCTTGCTTGTTTAATATGAAGGCTTACTCAAGGAATATAAAGAAGTTAATATAAGTCTAGCTTCTTTTAATTTTGCTTATACTTAGAAGCTGACTGTGAAAAATGCAGCGATAGTCAGTTGCTTTTTTTTTCATTTAAGGCAATGCGCATCCTTACATTCTGATGCATGAAGACATTGAAACATCCAACTTACCTTTCAGCCAGCTCTCTGAAAAACTGAACATAGCAAAGCAAAGAGAAAAACTCCTAAAGGTATGTCATCTGCAGTAAGTTCACTTTTGTGCTGTGATTATACTATGAGAACCTATATACTATGAGAACTTATTAAAAGATAAGTGAGATTTTTAGTGGTGCCTTTGGACTGCACATGAAGTGCATAAGTGTTGTGCCACTGCAGCATATCAGTGCAGTTCAGTTCACATTAGGTGAAGTAAGCATCATCTTTGGTCCTTCCCAGTGAAATCTCTGGCCATCAAGCTCTCTAGAACAGTTTTGATCATAAAGCAGGAACTTAGTTGCTTATTTATTTCTTAACTTGCCAAAACCCAAAAAAGGGCTTTTTCTGTCTTACAAGAGCATTTCATGTTGCAAAGAGTCTCTGTATTTTTGCAAGAGATGGAGAATCTGCACTCAAAAAGTGATGGAGTGGGAAGTGAATGGTCCATTGCTCCAGAGATGCTGATTTGTTTGGGATTTTTAAATAGCCAGTGTTAAGATGATGTCTCTTCTGCAGCCTATTGAGTGTAACAGGAATAAGAATAAAGGAATACCTCAGAATAGCTGGGAAATGCCTTGAATGGATTTTACATATTGAGGAAAGACTGACAGATGCACAAAGTTGCATTGCTCTTATCATAAATAATGTGGTTTTTGAGAACTGTCTTGTAACATAAAGTCTCTTATTTTGGAATGTGAATCTCCATAGCTCCATAGAAGAGACTTTCTAAGGGTTGTAAAAAGACCCTTGTGAGAAATCAGACATGAGAATTAAAAACAATCAATTTCAGGATTTATTTCCTAGGCTACAAGCAAATTAATTTTGCTAAATTCAGAGAAACACATTTTTTATCAGAAATGTAATTCCATTACATCCAAAAAGAAATTTCATTGGATAACTGGTACATGCTTAGTTATCCTGAAGGAATCTTACATGAGACTAAGTCTTTGAAAAATTTTAAACATACTGTCAGCAAATATTTATGTACACTTCTTTTCTATTTAAAAGTCTTTATATAATTTTTGTACACCAGAATCTGTAATTATAAAATGTCGTTTCTTTCCTAATCTTTGCACTTACTTGGATTAAAACACAGCTGAAGGGTTAATTCTTTGATGGAACATCTTTGCATATTTTTGCAGTTTGCTTTTTGTGCTGGATAAAAATTATATCTTAGGGTTGCACATGAAGATCTGACCAAGTCTAGTATTTCATACTCTTCTTTCTGAATGCTTACTAAAGAAAAATAGTTTTAAGCAACTTAGTCATATAATGAGTTAGGAATGAAATGAAGCTGTGTTATCTGCTTTTCTTATTGGTAAACACTGAAATAATGTCATCTCTACAGGAGATGATAGGCAATGTATGAGAAGCTGGAATCATTATTTCTGGAGTTACTTTCCTAATGGAATGTGGGTTATTTTCTTTATCTGCGTATTTGTTCTGTGTAGCCCGTTACTGCAGTTACCTCTCAGCAACAGGTATTTCATCTGGATATTGCTTCTTCTGTTCCATGAACAGAAATATTTCTGAAATACCTCCATGCACAATCAACTACATAAGTCTGTCTGCATGGTGGTGCATTTAAACCCAGGCATATTGCTATTCAAATAAGGTCTTTTAGGAGGGGATGTGTAGAGTTGGGTTGACCTAGCCTATTCAAAGTTCCTGTTACTGGGAAAAAGCATGGAGCTTGAGGAAAGTATGTTTGGGTGGACAAAGGCTGCCTTCTGCAGAGGCATATGGATATATTTGCACCATCCTCCCAATGCAGGGAAGACCCTAATGTTTGCTATTGTGTCTAGTAAACTTGCAGTGATCTGGCAAGTGATACAAAAATGTCCAGATAGCACAGCAGAGGCACACACACTTGTACAGATCTGGCTGTGTCTTGGCCATGCAATTATGGCTACGAGTGAAGATGTATAGCAGTGTCTCTACACAAGTTATCATTTTATTGAATAAAAAAAAAACAAACCAAAAACACAGAAAGCCAGTGGAATTAATGCTTCAAGGGAAAATTGGACAACTCCATGGAAGATATATCTGTTGAGAGTTAATAAATAGATAGAAACTATTACTAAGAAGATCTGGGAATTTATTAACAGATATATCATGAATGTCTCCTTTTTCTTCCCCAGATATCATATTTTGAGATCTCTTAAACTTAAAATCCACCATCCTGTCACTGACCCAGTAAAGTTTTCTTGTATGTAATTCAATAAAGTATTGGCTTTTTCAGGTATTGAAATTTGGAAGTTTAAATATTCTATTTGAAAGCCTGTATTTTTCTAATCATATTCTATCCACATTTTTTTCTAAACCACATAAATTATTCCTACAACCATTGTCCTCGACAGTGTCCTTGAAGTCCAGTCTCTCCCATGGCAGAAGATGCTTGGGTTTATTTATACCTTTTGAAACTGAAATTTACTAAGTCCAGTGGGATTTTTCAGTGGACTGTATTCTGTCCCACTTAAGTTAATAGAAATCCTGAATTGATTGTAATAGGTGAATGATTACAGCTTAAATTTCAGAGGTTTAAAATGAGGGAGGAGCTATATTTTCTTTGTTTTCTAGTAGGTGGCCATACATGTGTATTTTATAAGCTGTTGTCAAGCTCTGTTGCCTGTGTGTCATAAAACACTTCAGGATTTTTTTTTGTTCACATTTATCTTCACTGAAAGAGGTGAGTGGGCCAGATCAACATGGTGGTCAGTACCAAGCTATATACAAGATGACCAGAATTTTTCAGCCCTCTGCTTGAGAAGACCAAAGAGGCCTATATTGCTGCCTAGTTTTGAGATCCTGGCTAAACTTTGTTAAGTAGGAAGAATTGGGATCCAGCTACTGTCTCAGAGCCAAAGCTGTGCAGCAAACCAAAAACCATAGAGATGAGATGATGTCAAACTTCTACTTTTTAGTACAGTCAGATCCTTGTGAACTCAATAAGACATGAAGCTAAAGTCAATTCCTGTGACAAGAAAACATGCTAATGATCCCATTTTGCTGGTTCAAGAATCTCAGTATTAAACACTGGAATTTGTTCATCAAGAGTGTCTTATGCCATGAAAAGGAGGAGGAAACTGTGTGTCAGGAATGAATGCTGCAAATGTTATACAAACTCTTCATCCTGTGATAAATGTCTAGCTCTTTCTGTGCAGGACATAAGCAGAGGAATGGCAGGCATATAGTAGCCATCTTTACATTCTAAATTATGGGGCTAAATTACTTATATAACTAAGAGCAGCTACTGCAGCTGTCTTGTGGAGTTCTGTGTTCCAGTCCATGCCAGTTTCGCTATTGTCACTTTGTTTCCTATTTTTATTACAAAAAAAGCTATATTTGATTTTTTTGCTGGCTGATAATATTGTGCATTTAGCTGTTCCTTGCTGCTGGTATGATATATGCAGTAGGATTAGCCCTAATATAAGCTATAAGAAATTCTGGTATTGATAGACTTTTCTTCTATTGTTTCATCTGTTTGGTCTATCTCTACCCAATAATAGAGAAGAGTTTGTGGGAAAACTGTTAAAAGTCACAGCTAATATTCCTTGAGACCACTTATAGTTCATCAGTTGAATTGTGTTTTTCCTTGAAACTACCTGACCATTTGTTTGTTTTAGGAAGCCACTGAAACAAGCCATTGTAGCACAGTTCAGGGAAAAATAAAGGGACCTGCCTATGCTGCAGTACAGTCTGGGGGCTGACTGGCTGTGGAGCAGCTCTGCCAGAAAAGAGCTGGGATCTTGTTAGATCTTGAGCATGAGCTAGCAGTGTGTCCTGACAGAAAAGAAGGGCAACTGCTCCCTGTGTTATATTAACAGAAGCACAGCTAGCACACCCAGGGAAGTGAGTGTCTCCCTCTATTCAGTGTTCACTGGACTGCATTTAGAATACTACATCGGGCTTAGAGACTTCCAGTACAGGAAAAACTGACAAACTACAATGAGTTCAGCAGAAGTAACTGAAGTAACTGGGGGCTGGAGTACATATCCCATGAGAAGATGCAGAAACTGTCCTTGTCCAGCCTGGAGAAGAGGTGGCTTCAGGGAAAGCTAATAGCATTCCAGTACCTACATTCAGGTTATCAGGTAGATGGAGACAGGCTCTTAGTGGTGATGCATGGCAGGAGGACAAGAGACAATGGGCAGATGAAACAGGAAAGGTTCAGGCTGAACATAGGGGAAAACATTACACCATGAGGACAGCCAGGCAGGGGAAAAGGTTGCCCAGAGAGGTTGTGCAGTCTCCATCCTTAGGAAATTCAAGACCAAACTGAGTAACCTGATCAGACATTATAACTGACTCTGATTTGATAAGAAGCTAGAGAACCCTGGAAGTCCCTTCCAATGCTTGTTATCCTCTGATCCTATAAAGCCTTTCCAAAAAAAAGATACTTATCTGTTCATAATACATATGTAACCACTTTGCTGGCAGCTAATACCAGCATGCTTAAAAGATCCGTTGTGTTGCCAAGTACTTAACTGAGCAGGTATGACCTGTGTGATATATTTATAAAGTTTATAAAGCTTATGAAGTTTATCAAGCATTAGCTTTGTAGTCTTCAGCCAGTTTATAAGGGTTACCACATCATTGCAAACCACCAGGCACAGTACTGGAAACTCTTTAAGATCATCAAGCTATAAAGGGTTGTATTATTGAAAGATCCCAAAAGGTGTAATTGTTTCTCCAGTGTTTTTCCTGGTACCCTGATGGTGCACAGGAATGATGATTTCCATCAGTATGTACTGATACGTCTTCACTGTAACATGTTGCACGGCTCTTCTCATGTGGCTTTTTTCCCTACTTGCTTAGAACTTGTCCTCACTTCCTGCAGATACAGGAGAAATGGAGAACTACTGGCCATTACTGAAGTGCCTCCAGTTATCTGAAGGCCTTTGAAAACCAACATGTGAATTGGAGCTGTAATAGTCTCAAAGAGATAAATTATGCTGTATCACAGGCTCAGTGAGTTATTTTACTGTCCTTAAGATATAATTGCTCCTCAAGGGCAAGTGTTACCTTTGATGAAAATGTTTTCCTAGGTGTTTGGATTTCCAGCAAATAATGATGAAGGAAAACACAGGAAAAGCTGTATACCCTTACCTTATTTAAATGGGAAATTGAATTTTCTGACCTGTCAGAAATGAAAAGTGTAGAAGAGTTAGGATTAAGGAGTTTTGCTGGGATTGAAACATGCCAATTTTAGACAATGTTTGGAAGTCACTGAGCAGAAGAGGCTTAATCTGGATCCTTAAGATACCACCCAAGTCTGGAGTTGCATTGAAGCTCTTACTGTAGATTTGCTATTCAAAGCTGTAATCGAGACTATAAACCAATGCCTTCAAAGCTATTTTTCTGCAGGTTTTTCTAATTTATCCAGCTAGTATAACTTTCTGAGGCTAAACACTTGTGTCAGCTGCATGTACACACATCCATGCTTAGCCAGCTGGTGTCTTGGTAAACCAACTCTGGACCTATCCCTGCATGTCTGTCTTTGTCTAGTAGGGTAGCCCCTACTTACCTTACCTAATCTCTAAATGCACAACCTCACTCCATGTAAGTTCCATTTGAAAATGAAACAAAAGGTCTTGAAAAAGCACTTAGTTGCTTCTTTCCTCTGCATTTTACCCTACCTGTCTACAGACTATTTAAGTGCATTTCACTTACATTCCTCTTTAAGAGTTAACCCTTTGGGCATACTTCTCTTGGAGAGACAATCATGGGGCTTGGGGACACTTTTTGTTACACTTGATACAAAACTTGATTCCCTAAATTTCATAGAGGTTTTCATAGCAGCAGTTTTTAACTGAAGGTTTTTCCTTAGAAACTTTTGCAGCTACTATCTTTGAGCATATTAAAAAAATGGTTGGTTATTTTCTTCTTCCACAAAAATCCCACCTAGTTAAAAGTATCATTAATTACAAGATGGATCATCAAAGTGAGAACAACCAGGGCATTTTATTTCACAAATCTTTACAGGACTGAAATATTTGCAATACAATTCTGGTTACGCATAAAGATTGGAGGATGAGAGGCTGGAGAGCAGGCCTGCAGAAAGACATCTGCAGTTTGGATTGATGACAAGTTGACAGGAGTCAATAGTGTGTCATGGCAGCCAAAAGGGCCACCTGTGTCCTGGGGGGCATCAGACACAGCATCACCAGCCAGGCAAGGGATGGGATTGTCCTGCTCTGCTCTGCACTGGTGTAGCCCCACCTCCAGCACTGTGTGCAGGTTTGGGTGCCACAAAAAGAACATCACACTATTACAACATGTCCAGAGGAGGGTGACCAAGGTGATGAAAAGTTTTGAGGGCCAGCTTTAGGAGGAGCAGCTGAGGTCACTTGTTTGTTGAGCCTGGAGGAGAAGGCTCAGGAGTGACCTTATTGCAGTTGACAGCTCCCTCGAGGGCAGCAGTGGATGGGGAGGTGCTGCTCTCCTCTCCCTGGTGAGCAGCGACAGGACATGAGGCAACAGAATGAAGTCACATCAGGGGAAGTCCAGGTTGGACATTAGGAAAGGGCCTTTCACTGAGACACTTGTCAGTCACTGGAACAGGCTCTCCAGGGAAGCTGTCATGGCACCGAGCCTCTCAGAATTCACAGTGTCTGGACAATGCTCTTAGTTCTGTGGTTTAAGTTTAGGTAGTCCTGTGAAGGGCAGAGAGTTGGATTTGATCCGTATGGGTCCCTTCCAATTGGAGATATTCTAGGTTTCTGTGATTGTGTGATTGTGTTCTTGGGTTTGCTCAATTTGTGGAATTATCACCATATTCAAAATGGTATAAGACTGAAATTAACTAAATTCAATTTTATGTATTATATATGTAAAATATTATACATAAAATGTTAATGTAAATGATACAGCAAGTGAACCAAAAAAAATGTCTTTATTTTGTATAAATACTAGTATGACTTTCAGAAATTCAGAAGTTTCAAGTAATCACCTGTGATGAATTACAGCTATGTGTAGTGGTAGAAGGTCTTTACTATCAATTGAAAATTATTATTGTAATAAACAAGACTGACCCTTACCTATGATGCAAAACCTACATTTACCTTATTATAGACTGCTGAATACTGACATTGCACAATTTATTATTTTTACTGGTGTTTCTAAAATTATTTTTTAGGAACAGTTAGACAGTGAGAGCATGAAATTGAAGCAACTTGAGGACAAAAGCAATCAAAAGGAAAGGAAGCTTTTATCTATTATTTCCAATCAAGATGATAAAATAAGAAATCTGGAAAGCAAATTGCAAGAATTAAATGAAGCGCAAAAGGGTATACAGATGCCAACGTATAAAAGGGAGGTAAGATAAGAAACCAAGTAGAGATAAAATAAAAAAGACAAACATTTGTAAATTATTATTTCCTTCAAACATTAAATGTTTGGAATTCATACTAATTATTCTAATAAACTTATTTTAAATTTCATCATTCTGTAATTACTAGGAAATTGTGAAATTACACAAAGCACATAGGGTACAACATTAAATACATATTGGTTAGTTGGTATGTTAATTATTTTATGGTATGTCTCAAAAATTTTCATATTTGTGAAAACTCCAAATTAGCATTTCTGGTTTGTAATTTTCAGTTGGAAGTTTTCACCAAAACTGAGTTGATTTTTTCATTTTTATGCCACCCTATTTTTGTTACAGAATAGCATCCGAGGTGCTATTCTGTCCTTGTGGGATAGCTAGGGTGTAGTGATTGATGTGAATCTAACCACATACTCAGATATTAGCTACCTAATTTAGAGTGAACACAGGTAAGTGTAGGAGCACAGCAACACAGAACTTGTTGCTATCAGACTTGCTAAGCATTGCTTAGCTTACTGTGGCAAGGACTTGTATCCTGTGTTGCTGAGGGTTAAGGCAGCTCAGATGCACCTACAGGAGCTGCAGCCGCACCTGTGAGACACACCTGTGGTTACAGGCAATGTATCAGCTTATACAGATTTCTAAGCTTACACATATTTGAAATCAGCTGATTTGGCAGGCGTGCTCAAGTCCGTGTCTGACTTGGAACACATATGAACTACCCAGGCCATCTGGTAATGTAGCTCTAGTGGAACTGAAGCTTAGTGACTGGTTATTATGAAAACTTCCCTTAATGCCTGGCAGATGTAAAACTATGTAATACTGGAGTGAACCACACGGTGGTAGTCAAAGTTAATAACTTATTTAAAAAATTGCTAGAACTCCTGACATATGAGCTTCCAATGTGTTCACTGAAATTTTCAGTGAATAAATTGATTTTTAAGAGGTAAAATATCTGGGTAACAAGCTTATACAAAAGACAGAATCTTACCTTATACATGACTGAAAATGAATTACAATCAAGCAATATTCTTAGAACTAGTTCCCTTTCAAGGGAGTATGAGCAGAGAAATCCATAAATGAGTTAATAAGTTAACCTAAAAGGAACTAGGAATTTCATACAAACTGCTTTTGTCATTTTGACAATGCTTTGACAAAGCTTTTGACAAAGTTTTCAATGGGACTAGGTGAAGGACCCCATGACATTTTTACTCATATCAAGGTGAAGTGCAAAATTAATATGCTAACGTGCTCAATATTTTCATATTTTATTTCAAGGTGAAAAGTAAGAGAGTTGTTCCAGATAAGCCTGAATTATCTCTAGGGATCTCTGGTATTTCACCTGAAAGGTAAATACTTCTGCAGCAGTTTTCAAATTTGCTTTTTGCTTTTCTGCAGTTAAGTAAGATCAGCTATTGCCCTCTTTTCTATACAGTACCTTAAGAACTGGCTGGGAAGGGGAGCGTCAAAGGTCAAAGAGCTAATGCAGGAAGATAATAGAGCCAACAACTATGTGCAATCATAGCTGGGACTTTACAAGTATGGAGGGTTAAGCTGGGAGGGAGAAAGAGAGCTTCTTGGTTCAGCAGGAGGTTAAACTCCTGGAAACAGCAGTGGATGTTAATGCTGGGGTTTGCATAAGTCCTAACTGCCTTGCATTAACTCTTCTGGACAGGAATGTATAGCCATTATGGATTAATTGATGGCAGCACAGCATAGGGGCCTGCTGTGCTGCCAGGAAGAGGTCCGATAGGCAGCATGAAGAAATAATTCTTGGCCTGATCCATCCTAAATGATATAGTTTGAAACCAAGTTTATCTGTAAGCTGAAGCTAGGAAGCCCCTGCTATGACTAAGGGGTCAAAAAGAGTAGATTTCCTCTTCTGCCAGTGATTTTGGAAAAATATTGACCAAAATCTTGGGTTTGCATTTCTCATAGGATTGGAAGTAATGTCATTTTTAACAACTTTGCTGGGGTCAAATGGAAGATTCTCTAAGGTGAGGTTAGCGGAGTATTAAGAGAAAGTATCAAATTCTTGCCTAGGCATCTGCTTTGAACCACTCCCATACACAGGCTAGGTGAACCACATGGATCTTTAGTCTGGCTCAGTACTCTTTTATGATAAGAAAGAGAGGAAATTAAGACTGTAATATGAGAAAGACTTGTTTGTCTTTTTGATTTATATCTAAAAAATGAAAAACCTTTACCTGTCTTCTGTCTCCCTGCTCTCAAATAGCTTCCTTACTGTTTTCTTGGAAAGAGGTATGTGACTGGTAAGATTACTGGTAATCAAACACCAGTGAGATTATACTATCACAAATGCCTAAAATATTCAGACTGCTTCTTCTAATCATAGCTATATTTTAAAGTTCTGATTAGAAACTTCAAATTTGTTTATTTCTTCTTTATCAAAACATCTGGAAAATCATCAGAATGTGTTAACAATATCAATTTTAAATACCTCTGTAGATTTTTTTTTCAAATGAGATACAAATAGACATTTGTGTCTTCAAAAACAGAAACATGACAGAAGCAGGAACACAGTCTGATTGCTATATGAATTAGCAATAAAAAAGGAAAACAATTCACTGGATTAAAAAAAATCCCTTTTGAGATATTTTGGTGTAAAGATGCAAAAGAGAACACAAATACAACTTCACTTTTTCATCTTTGAACTTCGTTTTATAAAATCCATTATATTGTGCTTAAAAATATAAATTACTCAGCAAGTTTATCAAAATTTCACAGTGAATTTTATAGATGCATCAGTAGCTAAAAAAGAGTGCCTTTGGACAAATAAACTCACACCAGCATGAGCTATTTTTACCATTCTCAGTGCAGATAACTAAATATCTGATTCCCATATGATACTCTGGAAAAGATGTAATACAATAAATCCCTCAGAATAAAAAGAAAAACCATATGATATTGTATGAAACCTGAGGGAATGAGTTCACAAACTCCTCCCCAAAATGCCAGATTGACAGAGAAGGAAAGAGCCATAACAAATGCTTTTGTGTTCCTTCTTCTGCAGTCTTGAAGTGTACTGGCAACAACAAAAAACAATTAATGTTCATAGTGGCAGAATCTTACTTTCCCTAGAATTAAGGTGGAAACAGTACCACCCTTGGAAAAGGTAAACTCTTCCACAAAATACCTGAAAGACTGAAAGAACTGAAAGGCTGGATTTTTGGGGGTGGTCCTTGCAGGGTCAGTTCCTATATTCAAATATAGATGTATGTGATATGACTAAACAACTCTTTGACAAAATTTCCTTTTCCTTTTTCTGCTTGCTTTTACTGAGGAGAATAAAAATATGTATACATATGCTGAGGAACAAGATATCCAAGAAAAGTAGCTTACACTATTGTTTTTCTCTGGTTTGTGCGTATGACTAGATTAAAGGTCACAACAAGCTGAATTTGTTGACTCTTTAATTTACAATTTTGATCTTCCAGAGAGAATCTGGAGACTATTTTCCAGGACATGAAAGAAGAGTGTCATCGAATATGTATGCTAGCCAGAGAACAAACAGACCAACTGAGTATATTTAAGATAAAGCCAGAACCTGAAACTGGTAATATCATACTTAAGCTCTTATTGTGATTCAACTGTTTGAAAGCTTTGCTTTATATTTGAAAATACTGCAAATTACACATACATAGAAGTACTTCCACTGTTTACCATCTGCCTTTTTCAAGTCTGTTCACATGGTGCTCAGTATTTCACCAAGAAAACGCACCGCCAGTTTTGGCATTCTATGACGAATGCTCCAAATCACATGCTATAAAAGACAGTCATCACATCAATGGCTCTTGTAATTGTTTTGTCCCTTGGAGTGAGAGGCAGGCACTTACTACATGTGATATCCCATCATACTGTGTGAATGACAGCACTTGCTTGCTTTTAATTTAGCTGTCAGTTCAAAAGATGTCTGCTATGAATGCCTCTAGCCCCATATCTGTTAGAGGAAAACTGCAGGACTGAGGAGACTCAGAGGACTTATTTTTTAGACTTCCTTGTGCAGACTTTTAAATACTGTTTTCTTATATGGGACAAAAGCTTAATCCAACACTTCCTGAAAACAAAGGGAAGGCTTGATTTTTGTTGAGACTGTGAGAGATACTGAATGTCCAGTTCTGCTAATGTTTACCTTTAATACAATATAAGCTACTATGGGTATTCTCTACTAACTTTTCTTAACAGTATGATCAGACTCTTAAGTGATTTTGATAAACACCTGCCAAATGCACACAGCTGAAGTGAAAGATGCTGATTTAAGCACTTGATTTTAATTTAGGTCATCCATTACTGAAGTTTTGTTACATGAAGTGCTGACATATATGTTGTTCCTTCAAATTGCTCTGTCTGAACTGTATTGTGATAGTCTGATTGTATGCTAATAATTTCATTATTTGGGGGTGGGAACTAGGAAGTGTGTTTGGCAACTTACTTTACAAGAATGGTTTTGATTTCCCAAGAAAGTGCCTAACTCGTCTGTATGAAAAGCCATACATGATGTAAGCCATATAGATGATAAAAGAGGTGCTTAAGTCAACGGTGTATAAAGGTGTACATGACAAAAGCTATCTAGATTTAACATTTGATTTGTTACTTCTGTGTTCCACTGTCAGAAGGCTGCTGTACAATCAGTTTTTACTAAAGTTATTCTAAACTAAAGTTAGTTATTTCTATAGTTATATCTAAGTTATTCTATACTAAAGTTACTCCTGGAAAGGAGTAACCATTACCATTTTTATTAATATAATGCCAAAAATTAAGGGTAAATTCTCCAAACAAAGGGAAAACATGATCCCATTTCTGAATAGTTACTCAGTTTAAATATTTAACTAATTTGGAAACCAGTGGGAGTTGGGTACCTGAATACCTTCTAAAATTGTGCTCATGGTGCCTAGCATGTTCTTGGCACTGTGTGAAATGGTTTGGGTTCCAGCTTCTATTTCTGCCAGAACACTTCAGTAAATATGCAAGTATGTGTTAAGAGTATGGGACAACATAATTTTCAATAAAATGAAAATGTTTATAGCCAGAAATCAAAGAGAAATATAATTACTGGAAGACAGTATTTCCTTTTATTTCTGTTCTGATAGTTTTTGTGTCAGAAGTAATGTTTGTGAAAGAGAACTACTCAAATCTCATCTCATCTCAATCTGATTTTAAAGAGAAAATAAACAGTTGAAAAGGCAGGGAAGGAAGACAAAAAAAAATACCCCAGCACCACATTTTTATAAACTATATTTCAATGGACTATTTAATATTTTCTTCATTCTTTCTTCACAGAAATACAGTTTTCCATGCCGATACAGTGCACTGATAAAACTGATGAACAAGCAGAAGAGCTTTTTAAGCCTCGGGTTATAGAGGATATAAATAGAGGTGCATCATGCATCACATCTATCACACCAAGAGGAGTGGGCCAAGATGAGGACAACAACTCTGTAGAATCACTTTCTAAATTTAATGTCAAGTTTCCACCTACAGACAATGACTCTGCTTTCTTGCAGAGCACTCAGGAAAAACCAACAGTTCCTTGTACTGGTATATCTGAAAACATGCTTCAAGATCATCATTTTAACCTGGAGCACAGAGACCGTGCTGTTAACCTCAGTAAATTGGAACCTAACTCATTTGAAGCTCATGGCATTGATCTCATGACCTCAGCTTTACAAAGCTTGACTACTGTTGACAAAACAAACCCCTCAGATCATGCAAAGATGCCCATAGAAAAGATCTGTGACAAACCAAGTTTAAAAACAACAGACAGTGGTTTCACATTTGTACCTAAGCACACAATCCAGGGTGTACCTGAAGTAATTTTTTCTTTAGAAGCTGCTGGAACAACTGTCAGAGGTCCTCATCAGGTATCTTTCTATAAATATTCTACATTTCAAAAAACTGTAATGATTCAGACACACATTTTGCAAAGATCTTTGAGACTAGATTAATATATTCTCTAAGAAACCTCATCAGTCTTTTTTTAAGACAATCTCTCTTGTCATTTCTTCTTCCTAATACTGCGGAATGTGTTCAAGATGCTTTTCCAGTGAAAAGTCAGGAATATAAGCAGACGTAAGCCCTGGATGCTTTTTCAAATTTCAGTTCATTTAGATATTAATTGCTTCCATATCTATTTCAAAGCTGTCATTAGTCCTAAATTGTCCCCCTAGATTGCTTTCTTTCTACCCTTGATCTCAGTCGTATAGGGCACACATTGGTTTTAATTGTTTTTCATGTACAGCAGAGAATAGGAAAAATTAACCAATTAAAAAGCTAAACAGATAAATACTTCCACTATGAAAAAAGTAGCTTTTTGTCTCAGTCTGAGGTAGCAACCCTATTCCTCTGCTCTAAGAAACTTAAATTTTTGTCATTGTAGGAAAAAACATAATTATTTTTTCAAAAGAAAGAAAGTTTGCTAAAATACTCTTTCTTAGGTTTATGTATGTAATTTGGGCTTAAATCTCAATTATAGCCTGAAGTCCATGGAAAACAAGTCCCAGTAGCTGTAATGCAGAAAAATACAGTGGCATATTCTGACACTCATGTCTTTGAATACTTTGCTTCTTTTGTGTAACATCCTGTCTCAGCTGAAAGCTGGCAAAATTATGGAGCTTTATAGATTGACTTTGTGTTTGGTTTTTTTTTTTATTTCTGTGTTTTTTCTGGTACCTTGTGAAATGACAGATTCTCAAGAATAAGCAAATATGATAATTAGGAATTCTCTGAGGGTGGAATTTTTACTATTTACATGGATGAAGTTTTATGCTCTTTCTCAATGGCAAGGTACATGCAGCAGAAGAGCTTTACTTCTCCATTTGGTCACTGCATGACCTGAAAAACCAGCATTTGGAAAGTGTTGAAGGACATGATAGCTTTGATGTTTTCTTCTCCTAAAATTTACCCAGTCTAGTTTAATTTTCTATTGCAAACCACTTTTGAATGAAAATTTTAAAGTATTGAAAGATTGCTGCTATAAGCTTGATTTTTTTCAAAAGCTATTTTAGATATCTATTTGTAATGTAGGAGACCTCAATTCTTTACCAACTTACTAATTACAGTTTTTATTGTATTTTTCATTGGGTCCTCAGTTAAAGTTGTGACTAAGTTAAACAAATTAAGACATTTATTTTACTGCTAGTAGAATTCCTGTGGAACTTCAAAGAATTCACTCAATTTCTTGTTACTATCCTCCTTTTCTGTATTCCCTCTTCAGCCTATTCTTTTACTAGTTAGTCTGTGTATTCATTTTTCAATAGATGGCACCCTGCATTGTACATTACAGCAAGTGAAACAGCTGGTATGTGGTTATAAATTGGTAGGGGAGTATGCAGATTAAAAAGGACAGAACTGTGATTGAATAGCAGTTGAATAGCAGTAAATCTTTGACCATTGGTATTTCTGCAAAATAAGGAAATTAATTTGGACCCAGCAATTAAAATGTTAATTATTTGTTTTGTGGAGAAAAATGCACTAAGGCTAGCACTCAGAGAAAAAGGTAATGGTGAATTGTTTAGTATTTGAAAGTCATGCATACAATAGCACTGCATTGATTAAAATGTTATTTCTTATCCAGAAGTTTGTTTGAAACAAGTCCGTACTACTTTAGAATCCATTAAATGTACAATCCATTAAATGTGTGTATCAGTATATTTAAATATTCATCACCTTTATTCAGCTGCTTCCAAAATACATTTTTAAGTATTTTTCTCAATTAATTTGACTCAGCTCTAGTTTTTTCTGACTGTAAATTGTGCTAAAGATTTGGTCACAGATAATATATATGTAGATTAAAATAGTAATTTTTTTTTTTAAGTTACTTATATACGTGCCCTTTTCACTGTGTTAACCTTAGCAAAATTTATGCATAAACTTGTTCTTAGTATTTTTGCCACCTTTCTAGGGGGAGGTTATGCTGCTTACAGCTTCTATCATCCTTTCCAAAAATGAAGGAAAAGCCAAAAAGGAGAGAATTATATACCTCTTTTTTTTTTCCTAGTGTAGATAAAACTTTCAAGTATTTACTACATATGTTAACTTATAAAATGGAAAACCCCATAAATGCAATAGATTTGGCAACAGCAAGTTCTTGGAACTGCTCTCAGTTGGTGTAATAAATTTAGCTCTTTCCTTCTATGTGGATACTAAATCTAAAAACTCAGTACTGTTTTCTTAGAATGTAACTTTGAAAAAAAAAAAAAAAAACGTGACTGAAAAGAGCAGTAGATTAAAATAAACATGGATATTAGTGAACCTAGGATTTTACAGACTGCATTTAGCTGAGACTTTCATATAGATGCACATGTTTATTGGTATTTGCAGTTTGAGGGAGTTGTTTCCGCCAAAAATACTTCTAAGTATGTTCATGATTTTAAAAGCAAATCAGTGGTCTATTAATCTCAATATTAATGTTTTTGAAATTGAATGTCTGCTTAAATAGATCTCTGTTCTGACAAGGATATTAAACACAAGCTCAGCACTCAAGAAGTGGAAGTTAAGTGCCTGCGTGTGTGGGTAGCTGGATGGGTACCTCCCCTTGTTATGTTTCCAGGATGACAAATAGTTTTTACAATACTATTTTATCTTTTTTTCAAACGGTGCTTTAAATCATATCAGAAACAAATAATTCTAAACACATTTATGTAGTGTGTTTAAGTGTGTTAACTTGTTTAAGTGTGTCAGTGTCTAGATAGATTTAATATGCAATTTACACCAGCAACATACAATAAGTAGACTCTTTGAGTTGAAAAAAGTGGTGTGATTGCACTTAATTACTAATTAGTCAATTTAATTATATGGATTGCTGACCATAATGAAAGACAGTAAATCTGCTATTGCTATGTGATAAGCTAAACACTGTTTAAATACAGAATGGGCAGGACTCCCCAAGAAGTTCAGGGTGGTTTAAAAAGAAGGTTTAACTGCTGTGAAAGCCAGCTTAGTTGTACAGTGGGTTGTTATGAGAGAAATAAACGATAGATTCTAACTATTTGGCATGATGAATTTTAAAGAGGAGCTGAAAATTAAAAATCTTGGGTATCAGTAGCAAGAAATTTAAAACTTCCAAAGAAATGACTTTGCAAAGTATTCTTCCTTGCCTTCCCATGTGTGAGTGAAGCAAGAGGAAAAAACTGAGCCAAAAAAACCCCACTGTCTTCTAGAAAAGTTCCATCCCCACATAGAGCTCATACCAGCTTGCTGCCATTCTTTCTATTTTGTAGTCACAACAGGATGCATTTGGTTTTCAATTTACTCAAAACCTGATTGTCCTGGCCATGTAAAGTAACTATTTGATGTTGTGTTGCTAATGCTAAAGTTATGAAACTTAAGTTTTAACTTTACTTCGAAAACTGATAGAAGATTTTTTGATTCCTAGTTGGTACAATTCTAAATAATCTAAACACTTAGTCTCTGGGTTTAAGTGCCTTGAATTCCAAAGTTGAATAAGCAGACTTGCTAGCTTGAAACTAACTAGCTCAAGGAGCTGGAGCAGTGCAGCTGATAAACCAAATACAAGGTAGTTTATAGAATTGCCTGAATTCATGGATAGATATTCAAATGGTTCCAGTGAGTTTGACGCTGTCATGGCAGGAGGAATCCCAAACAAGATTATTTGTGACACAATTATACTAAAAGGCAGCCAGAGCAATTAAGTACCTTAAGACATGACATGACATACACGGATGTAATAATTTTGGAAGTAAACTGAAAAGTAGTTATATGTCAATAAAAATGGAAATAAAATAGAATCGTGTTAACTTTGTACAAGAAACATTTTATTCTAAAGTAAAAATGTATTTTCTCATTTCTGCTAAATGGCTGTTGTGTACTATGACTTCTACAGTAAAATACTGAAATGCAAAAAAAAAAGCTTTAGTACATACCAGACTGATGTTACAGACTTCTGCTCATAGCAATATTTATCATAAATAGATACCAAGGTCCTAGCTTGCTTTTCTTAAATGAGAACTCTCTACTTAACGTCTCTGGCCAGGCAGGTGTAAAGGAATCCTAATTTAAAGAGGCAGGTATTTTTGAAAATATAAACTACAGCATAGTGTAAACCACATTGTAAACTTCAGCAATAATAATTTTCTGTTTCTTTTAGCCCATTTGGCAGCCTCAAGACAATGATTTGCTGGCACAAGCATATGCAGACTCTGAACCGAATCAGTGTGGAATATGTGAATTCTGTCGAGAAGTTTTCCCACCATCTCTAACATCTAAGGAAGATTTTCTTCGGCATCTCAATTCCCACTTTAAAGTACAGTCTTAATGTATGAGAATTCAATGGTTCGCTGTTTTTGCATACATTTATACATTTTTTTATTCAATAGATATAAGAGTTTAAGAATTAAGACTTCTTGTAACAAGAACTCATGACTGAAATTGTCACATAAGCACATTTGTCATTGTCTTTTGATAAGGCAAAATGAAACTAAGTCACTCAGTGCTGTGATTCACATTATTGCTTATTATGCTTCACTATTAACTTTGAGAGTGATGTCAAACACTTTTTCCAAATAATCTTTGCCTGAATAGCCCTGAAGTTGTGACTGTATTTATGAATGTAGACTTGCAGGATTAATGCCTTAATCTGGCTGGCAAAAATTGGTGTAATGCCAGCATTTTTTTTTACAATATCCAGTGATGTGATTATGTTCTCTCAGAAGTACATGGGAAGTAGGCCCTCATTTTTCATTTATACTATATAATTTCCAAATTTAACTTGCAGTAGTGAACTTCTTAATTCAGATTCTTGTAAAATTACCATAATAGCTGAATCCAGGTGTGCCAGAATTAGGATAGGCTTCTTTACTAGTAACAGAAATGAATGGTTGACTTTCCCAGATAATTTTTTTACTAAAGCAAGTAATCAAAAGTAACACATAAATGACCCTTTTGCCAAAATGGAACAGTAATGATTTTATGTATCTGTTACATGTTTTAAAAAAAAAAAAATTATCTTGTTCATGTACCTTTATAGCATTAATAATTACTAAAATGCTTTCAGGGAACAGGTAATATTAATATGAAGGATAGAAAGGTTAAACTTTCCCCAAAACTAATGATACAAAAGATTATTTGCCTTCCCTTCTTGTCTGCTATGATAGATTACCCAAGTCTGGTACAGACTAGAAAGAAAAGGGGAAAACCTAATCACCTGAATCTCAGTGACTTTATTTTTAACCTGAATATGCTTAGTGACTTTCTCAATGCAATTAAAATTTGTGTTTAGTTGAAACGTTGAAGTCTGATAAAGTTTGCACATTTTCTGGATTTACTGATATCAAATTTAAAAATAGGGGTGTTGCCAAGTATTTTAAATTAATGATAAAGGGTGCTTGCTTTTTGCATTTGAACTGAATATAGAGTTTAGCCCTGATATTGATAATTAGCATTAATATTTTCATAGCAAAGCACAACACTTTTATCTTTTTGAGATTTGTTTGCAGGTGACAAATTTCTGGAAGAATTAACAGCTGCATACTTTTTAGACTTTTCTGCAACTATTTTCTCTATTTTGAACACGTCATGTTTGTGACGGGCTGTCAACAGAGCGTACTGTAATAAAGAGCAGTGTACAGTGCACGTCTGCTACAGGACCTGGAGGAAGAGTTTGTTACTCTTCGGAGCTCTAAACCCTGCCGGTCCGCAGGCTGAAGAGGCGATGCTCGGCCGCGGCCGCGCCGTGCGGAGTGTGAGGCACTTCCCGGAGAGCGCGGCTGGGGGTGGCGCCCGGGAGAGGCACAACTTCCAGCCCTGGCAGGAGAGAAGGGGATTCGCACATCTCCAGCCAGCCCGACACACGGCACCGACTCGTCCTCTCAGCCGTGAAATTCGAGCTCAGAAGCTCGCGTTATTAAGAGATGCGCAAACTGCGAATCACCTTTGAAGAAAATAAAGTCATCTGTTTCTCCCCCCGCCCCCACGGCTGGGTGCGTTTTCCCCAGGAGCCCTTGAGCTGGAGAGCCGGGAGCCCTGCCCCGAGCCCCAGTCCCGCACGGGGACAAGGCTCTTTGTTGCTGGAGGCAGTCTGGGCTCCCCCGCAGCCGGGGCACTGTTGAAAACAGCGGGGAGGGCGGCAGGAGGTGGAGAGAACACGGTTGACCAAAGTCTCGTCGACCAGCAGAACCCATCCGTCTCCCACTGTGAGGGCTCCTGCCTAGAGCGGCGTTTTAGGAAGCTGTTTAATCCTGCGTGCTTAAAACTCGCTGCCTGAGGGCATCCAGATAGGCTCACCGATCAGACCGCTGCGAGGAGCACTAGTTTAGTTTTTAAACAAATAAATAATAAATAAATAAATAAATAAATAAATCTCACGCTAAGCAATTGTGAGCGACTCGAAGTGGGAGGCGAGTGCGGTCCCTGAATGGGTCCCCCTTATACAGTTTTCCTGAAGGCGGCTGCTGCTGCCAGCAGGGACATCTGCTTTATTACACTCACCAGAGGAGGCTCAGTATTCCTCCCCTTCCCTGCCTCTTCCACACAAGCTCAACCCGGCAGAGGCGGTTGAATCCAAGTGGGAAGTAGAATGTCATTAAAAATAATAAATATGGTGGAAGGAACTTGAGAGGACAGGAAGAGCAGCAAACTCGTGCCAAGGTGTTCTACCGAATTCCAACTCCGCCAGGGCCAGCGGAGCCCTCGGCGGGGCAGCCCCGGGGCTGGAGCAGTTTCAGGGCTCCCGTACGAGCTCAGTGTCACCCCGCCCCGCGCTGACGGTGCGCGACGCGTGAGTCCCCCGCGCTCACAGCCAGCGTTCGCGGGAGCGCTCGCAAGGAGACAAACGCTCTCGGGGACACTGCGGCCGTACGGCTGCCTCAGCCTGCTGCGAGGGCTCAGCGCCGGCGGCCGGGTAGAACACATGTAGCTCCTCTGTCTCTCCGGCTAACTCGACATCTGCTCGTAGCTCCAGTAATTAGACTGTCACTGCTTGTTAGAGGAGAGGAAAACGCTCCTATGACAGATTCCACGAGACCTCTGTTTTTTAAAATCTCGCAGAAATCGCCAGAGCATTAACTGAGATTTCTTATTTCTCTAGAATCAGAAGGAAAGAAGTTCCCTCTCCCATCTCGCACTCCAATCAGATCGCTCTTCCGACTCCCATGAAACAGTGAATTCACTATAAGAGGCTGAGGAAGTTACCTTCCTTCCCCTGCCTGCTTGGGAGGAAGAGGGAGCTTCCTGGCCTTGTGAACTTGCTTTTAAAATCCCTTCCCTGTATGGCTGTATCTAACCAGATAATAGAAATGCAATCTTTCCTCCATTAATTGAGCGGAGGAGTCGCTCAACACACGACTTCCCCATCCGAGACAATATTAATTCAGAGGATGCTCAGGAGAGGCTGTTCCCCCTTACGAACAAAAGCACTGGAGGATCAAATCGAGATGCTTCTACCCCCACCCATGGTTCACCCAGCAGATGAGACTCAGAGGAGGCGACTTCTTCCCCTCCCTACCATACATTCCCCTTTCCCCCGCAATCATACAAGGTTAACTCAACAGAGGAGTCTCAATCCAAATGGCAACTGGGATTGCATTTAAAAAAAAAAAAAAAAAAAAAAAAAAAAAAAAAAAAAAAAAAAAAAAAAAGAAGGAAGGGGGAGAAAAAAAAATCAGAAATAGGGAAAGAAAAGAGAAAAAGCAGCAGGCTGATTACGAGGTGTCAAAACTGCCAGGAGCAAGAAGGTGATAGCAATCAGGGGTGAGAAGAGTGCGCCATTCGTGCGGGGCAGCTAATTATCCGTCTCATTTGAGAAGAGCAGCATTCGAGGCAGCAGCGTTCGCCTGCTGAACGGTGACAGATTGGCGCGGAGGAGAGGGGAGGTGTTAAAACAATGGAGCCGGGCTTGCGAGCGCTGCTGCATGCTAATCAGCCCGGCCTCCTTCCTTCCTTCCCTCCGCCTGCCTGCCTGCCGCGATCCCTCCTTCTCGCTGGCCGCATGGCAAGCCCAACGCTACCCGGCCCCTCCGCAGCAGGCGGCACCGCACCCGGCATAGGTGGTAACCCAGAGAGAGTTCCAGCGGGACCGCGCAGCGGGGCTGGCGGCACCCGGGGGACCTGGCAGGCTGCTGGGTATCAGTGGTAGATTTCAGAGCTCGCCCTTGGCGCCCGGGCTGGCAGGAGCCCGGCAGTGCTCTCCCCGCGAGGGGCAGAGGCGAGGAGCTCCTCGTACGAGTCCTGCGGGTTCCTCGGGCTGACCGCCGCCGCCGGAGGCCAGGCCGCAGCCGGCAGCGCAGCAGCAGCAGGTTGCCCAGTGAGAGACAATCTATTGCCGCAGCCCAGACCAGGCCGCCGAGGTGGGGGAAATGCAGAGCCGTGCCAATTACTGATGGACTCCAGGGGCTCCGCTGCCCTCTCAGCTCTGCACGGGAACTAGAGACCGGAATGCTAAGACATGCAGTAAGCAAATTGTACGGCCTCTCTTCACCACTGCTTTTTGCCTCTCGGATTGCTTGGCCTTGCAAGCCTCTGCGTGTACACAGTGCGTGCCTTGTGAAGAGGTACTAAAAGGCCTGGCCTTCTCTCAGACCGGGAACGACCATTCCCTTTCACAAACAGTGCAACAGGGTCTACAGAGACAGCAGAAATTATTTCTGAGGGATCTCTTTGGCCCCAGCTTTCCCAGGAAGTCCATGCTCCGCAGGACTCACAGGGCAAACCCCCAGGCTGGAGCATTAGCAGCCCAGCCACAGCAAGTGCTCCGCTCTGCCAGGGAGAAGCAGAGGAATGAGCGTTGGAATGTTTACTCTCCAATATTTCTCAGTTTCCATTCCATCCTGCCCTGAAAGATTTTTGATTACTATACACTTCAAAATAGTATTTATTACAGATTTACATAATCTGTATGTTTTATGTTAAGGCAATAACACATTGATGCTGTACTACTGAAAGGAGTTAATCTAAACTATGTAGTGTCTGTTATAACAGAGTTCCAACTAAAACATATCCTTGCTTTCTGGCACTGACAAGAAACACATATCCAGAAGGACATTGCCCAGCACATTAGGTAAACTGCCAGGTGAAGCTGTTGCTCGACTCCTGAACCTTCACTGGGTTATGGATCAGCACTTGGCCAAATTAAATGATGTAAGTCTGTGTGTAACCTCACATTTAATTAAACAAATGTTATTTCAAATAGCATGTGCCTGGTTTACAGCAGGATTCATGGGAATGAGAAAACACTAAAAGGGAATAAACTGGTTTAGGCCTGAGGTAAGCAGCATGATAACTCAGGTTGAATGCTATTTAAAATAGATTTGAGTGCATGTACAGCTAGGCGGTAGTAATAGCGTTTAAATTTTGTTATTCTAAGTCTGTCGTTGAGTGTACTTGATGAGATTGTCCATGAGCATACAGATGGTGAGATTTTCATGCTTCTGTGGCATACTGACATCTCAGGCTGTAAAAATAAATTCCCAGATCGCTGTAATACCTAAGAAATAGAAAAATGCAGTCCACCTTAATGCTCTACATTTTAGTCCTTTATGTTTTAAGAGATTTTATATACTAGATACACAGATTTGTGCATATTAGGAAGACATTTAGAGTATACAGCAAAATTCAAGATAAATTCTGTACCCTTTTTTATGTGCATCTGAATTTAGAGATATGGGGGATGGAGATAAAAACTTGCCTTTGCTGTTATCTGTATTTTTTTTAACTGGTGTCATGGTTTGTTTGTGGCCCCCTGCTACCAAAAACTAGGCCGTGCCAAACCAATACATTTGTACATAAGGATAAAAGGCAGAAATAAGTTTTCATTAGGTCAAGTTTACTTTTCATTAAAAGATTCTTGGATTGTTTCTTGACTTCAATATATTTTTTCAAGCTGGAAACAAACTATTATATCTATTTTGATAATTTACACTGCACTAAAAAGGTATTTGGATCAAAGATGAATGCCGAGATATCTGCTCCAATATAATAAATTTTATCCTGCCTAAGATGCCATAGTGTGGAGCAATCCATGCATGCAGCCTGTTCAGCCTGGAAATCAACACTGATATTGCTCATAAATATCCAGGGTAGGGCATCCCTATTGGTTACTGCCTGGCCACAGACAAGGTGCTGTGCTTATCCAGGTTGCTGAACTGACTGAATTAAAATTTTAAATAAAAATATATAGCAGGGTGATATGGTGCAAATGAGCTAAAAGAAAAACGTTTTTCAGAGACAAGTATATAGTTTAAAAAGGTTTAAAATATTCAATTGGTGTAAAAAATAACTACTTGTAAAAACGTGTGTATTTTCATTATGCTTAATTTGCCATTCAAAACAAGTTTTTCTTAATAAGCTCTATTGTTTCTATCTGTTTTGTGAAATGTAATACGTGTGAGACAGAAAGCAGACTCGGAATGTGAATGAGTCTTGTTTTCTCTTTCTCTTTCTTTCGTTTTTAAAATACAACTTTATTCATATTCACAGGGATCTTTAAGTTGAGAAAAGGATTAATGGAAGCGGCATGACACTCCTGAGGTCATGATCTGAAAAGATGAAACATGAAATTCTATCTGCTAGTCTTTTCCTATATCTTATTTGCGTGCAATAGAAAAGTCTCCATAAGCAAAACACTCTATAGTTAATAGTTATGTTTTCGCTCTCAGCA